ACATTCACCCACTCACTCATTCCTCCGTCATTCTTTAATTCATCCTTCAATCATGCCTCTTGCATGAAATTCACTCATTCGTTCAACAAACGTCCCATGGGCTTGGTGTGGGGCATTCTGCCCTTGTAGAGTTAACAGCCAATGGGGAGGTGCAGGGGTCTCACACCTAATGCACTTTTTCTCTTGCCCATCTGTCTACAATTCTGAGTGTTCCCTTTGTGCAAGCCTTGTGCTGGGTCCCTGGGACTCAAGAGTGATTTGAAAACACCTTAAACGCGGGATATAAGTAGGCAGGGCCTGGAACACCAGGCCAGGAGACGGGTGGAGTAGTCCAAAATAGAAGACAAGGAAGTCCACTCTCTTACCACTGTATTTCCAACACTAAGCACAGGGCCTGGTACAAAGATGCTCATTATTTGTCATAGGAATTAGGCAGGAAACCAATGGTTAAAGAGTTTGGGAATCCTGGTGGGGTCAGAAGTCTGAGGGGTCAGTGGGAGGGTATGTAGCCTGGTTCAGTGATTAAGGTATGGGTTTAGGAGATGTTATAGGAGGGAGGCAACAGAATTAGGGAGTGGAGGCCAGAAAGGGTAAGGAGAATGGGTTAGCATCAGACAGACCTGGGCTTGAATTCCAGCTCTTTTGCTTACTGGCTTGCGTGACTTTGGGCAAGCCTAAGTGTTTTAGCCTCAGTTTCCTCCTCTGTAAAAGGAGTAATAATCCCTGCCTACTAGAACTGTCATAAAGAATAAACCAGGTGATTTTTCTAAGTAGGGTTAAAGGCTTTGTAAAGATGATTTTTCTGTAACTTAGAGGTCAGTGGAATGGGATAAGGATTGGTGATCCTTGTCCCATCAATAGCCAGAGGGAAGGTTGGAAGTGACGGAGTCTAGCTCGGGGATTAGGTGAGGGACAGAAGGACAAGGAAGGGCAGGAGGACTCTACAGTGTGGTCAGTGAGAGGGCTGAAACTTGGGCGCGGATCAATGGATATTGAGCTTATCCCCATGCCAGATTCATGGACCTAGCTGAAGTGATTGTGGTCATTGGCGGTTGTGACCGCAAGGGACTTATGAGGTTGCCCTTCGCCGACGCCTACCACCCAGAAAGCCAGCGCTGGACCCCACTGCCCAGCCTGCCTGGCTACATGCGCTCAGAGTTCGCTGCCTGTACTCTCCGCAATGACATCTATGTCTCAGGTGAGAGCAGGGCCGCATTGGGAGCCCCACAGGATTAGCTCATGGCTCCTGAGCACTGCCCCTTTTTTCCCACCAACCTGGAGATTGGGGTGGGATTTTTCCTGATAACCTAGTTTTGGCTGAAATGGTATGTAGTCCTGCACAGCCAATCACTGGTGTGACTCCACCCTTTATTCAGTAAAGTCAGCTTCAACTCATATTAATCACTTCTTAATTAGGCATTATGTTAAGAGGCTTACATTAATTCTCTCTACAGTCCCATTTCACAGATGAGAAACTTATTAGGCATTATGTTAAGAGGCTTACATTAATTAATTCTCTCTACAGTCCCATTTCACAGATGAGAAAACAGGCTCAGAGAGGTTAAGAATTTCCCTATTGTCACAAAATTGACAAAGCTAGGAGCTTTGATACCAACAGACTGTGCCTTTCCTGAGATTCAGGCCCTAGAGACTCAGATGATAAAACACAGTTCCTGCTATCCTGATGTACCCTGGAGAGGGAAAAATGGACTTCCCTTTATGACCAGGCTGAATTGAGACTCAGATGATAAAACACAGTTCCTGCTACCCTGATGAGGGAAAAATGGACTTCCCTTTATGACCAGGCTGAATTTGATGGGAACTCTCAGAGACCCCAAATGAGCTGGAATCCTACTCAGGGAATCTGAAGGGAACAGCACAGGCAATGGCATGAAGGCAGAAATGTGCAGAAAGGAACCCCCGGTACTCAGGGCTCTGAAGTGCAGGTTCAGTGTATCTGTTAGAGGAGGGGAAGCCATTGTAGGTGAGGGAGGAATGGGAGTCTGGAGTCGGATCAGGGAGACTTTGACTCCAGGCCTAGGCAGACTGCACTTGATGTTGTAGGACTTTATCACTGGACAGCTTATCCAAGGCCACTGGAAATACAGAGGCAAGGGCTACAAAACAGAGGTGTGGCTTAGGCTGAGGGGAGGCGGTCAGAATTGTCCCTGGGGAAGCTACTCCTAAGAGGTGAGTCGCTGGTCAGGAACCCCATGCCAGCCAGGGAGGAAGAGTCCACAGCCTGCACCCTCAGTGCCTGCCCTGCCCCCCACCCCCACCCCCGGAGCGTGCTGTGTCCTTCACTAATACCAGTGTTGGGCTTGGGGGCTGGAAGCTCTGGTTTGGATCAGTGATTTTCAGCAAGTCATTCCTGGCCTCTTACGCGTCATCCGAGTTTCCTATCTGTAAACTAGGTAGTAATCCCAACACCTCATGGAGGGATGAAACAGACATGAAGCCATGCAGGTGAAGGCAGAAGTGAGACAGAAGCCCGGGGTCACCCTCTACCCCTCCCCATCCTGTGTCGGTGGCTCTGCTTTCTCTGCCCCAGTGTACTCCTGATTCTTGCCTTGGGTACCTTCAGTAGACTTCTAAAGTGCCCCCTTTGCTTCCCTGAGCAGAGCCTGGCATACCACCACGATGTACCGAGTGAAGATGAGTTCCTTCTCCCTGAATCCCTCAGGCCTCTCCCCTCAAAAGTCTATGCCTGTTGTCCCAACTCAGACTTTGCCACCACTCATTCAAAGCACACGGTCTGGGTCACACCAGCTCAGGAGAAAGTCCTTCTTGACGTCTACCCTTAACTCTTCCTTTGGATCTGGGGGCAATAGCTGCTTCTCTCTCCCCAGGAGGCCACATCAACAGCCATGATGTGTGGATGTTGAGCTCCCATCTGCACACCTGGATCAAGGTGGCCTCATTGCACAAGGGCAGGTGGAGGCACAAGATGGTGGTCTTGCACGGACAGGTAGGGACATGCAGCAGCTGCTGCCGCTGGGGCCCAGGGTATAGATCTATAGATGTCCTTAGAGAGGCCCTCTCTAAGACGCTCTCTCTCTGTAAGGGCTCTGAAGTCTCAACAAAGAAAGGGACTTGCTCAAAGTCACATCAAAATACTAATGCCAATAGTAATTACTGTAATAGTATAGCCTAGGCCAGTGGTCGGCAAACTCATTAGTCAGCAGGCCCTCTCTAAGACCCTCTCTCTCTGTAAGGGCTCTGAAGTCTCAAAAAAGAAAGGGACTTGCTCAAAGTCTCATCAAAATACTAATGCTAATAGTAATTACTGTAATAGTATAGCCTACAGCCTAGGGTGTGGGCTCTGGGGCCAAATAGCCTAGGTTTGAATCTTGACTCTGCCACTTAAGACCAACACACACACACACACACACACACAC